TGCTGCCTCATTTCCTTCTGTTCCAACATGGCTTTGAATCCACTGGATTTTTATTGTGGCTCTGGCTTCACTGAACTTGCGGCGCAAATCATTCATGTCCTAGTTGTTGCCCAGCAGCCCCTTGCAGAGGGACTGACTGTCACTCAAGATCAGCACATTGGTCCTACTGTGGCAATTGTCAGCAATCCATTGTTCAGCAGACATCATTGCCTGGCATTCCTCGTCATAAGATGATGTAAGAAATGCACCTTTAGTTTTTATACACGGGTCGTTCAAAAAGTTTTGCCTCCAAGTTCATAATTTTTTTATTACTTAGGCTATATACAAAAGTTATACATCAAATGAAAGCGTAGGATGTCTGCTACATGACAGTACCTTTACTTTTCAACATAGTCGTCTTCTTTGTTGATGCAAATCCGCCAACATCGAATAAGTTGTCGCTTGCCGTCGGCGAAAAGATCATGTGATTTTCCTCTGAACCAGCGACGCACATCCTCTTGAACTTCATTGTCATCTGCATAACGTTTTCCTTTGAGGTACTCCTTCAACTTAGCAAAAAGATATGGTAAGGTCTCTTGAAACCTGAGACTTTTCATGGCATCTTGAGTTTGTCGACTCGTGTGTGGACGGGCGTTGTCGTGGTGCAAAATTGCATTTTTTCCATGCTCTAAGTTTTCTCAGGGTCTCAATATATCGTTCAGAGTTGATAGTGGAACCCTGTTCCCATATTTCCAAAATGAATCTGACCATCTCAGTCCCAAAACACTGTCATAAGCAAAGCAATTTCTTTGCAGATGAAACAACTTTGAACTTCTTGGGGTTTGGTGAGCTAGCGTGCCTGTATTCTTTCGATTGTCTTTTGTTCTCTGGGTCATAATGGTGTGACGATACGACGTAAGAAAGCTTCACCTTCATCGGTATAACGAGCCAGGAGTTCATCACTAACTTGACTTCGGTTCAATTTCAGATCGGGTGACAACATGTGGGGAACCCACCGTGCACACACTTTCCTGTAACCCAACACATCATGGATAATACCCTCAGCACTCCCAACAGAAATCTCTATCATTTCACTGACATCTCTTACTTTGATCCGCCGGTTTGCTTGGATGATCTCAGCCACTTTCTCCTGGTGTTGAACATCACTGGCAGAGTTGGGACGAGAACAATGGGCTTGGTCATGAAAATCTGTTTCTGCTGGACTGGTTTCAGCGAACTCCTTTGCCCATCTTCGAACAGTACTTTCTTTTACACATGCTTCACCACAGACAAGCTTCATTCTCCAATGAAAATCAATGGGTGCAGCTCCCTCTGCAGTAAGGAACTCAATAACAGCTCTTTGCTTTAAGCCCACATTCATAGGTTTTCTGGACGCCATTTTCTCGGCGACAATGTTCCCTAGCTTCCATGATGTAAACAGCAATAGCATAGAGGTGTAACATCATAGCATAATTCTGTTTTAGGGCTTTGATAGTATACATATTAAAGTCAATTGTGTACAAATTTGATGAAGATATCTAAGTTATTGGAGAGGAGGCAAAACTTTTTGAACGACCCTCGTAATATCTGTTCGTGGTGGTTCATCATTCATTATCACCACTGCTGCTGCTCCACCTTCGCGGTATCCTGCGACAGCCGATCCATCGGTGAAATTGTCACATTCGCACAAACCTCTTTGATCACATCCTCAGCTGCTTCACGTGCCTTTACAGGATCATCACCTTTTCCTTTTACTCCTCTCAGTTCTGTCCGAATTTCGATTTCGCCATGGGTCTCCCATG